CCTAACCCTGCAGGAGACGGGACCTCCATTTATTCGTTCCTATCTGAGAAGACCAGAATATCTAACCATTTCTTCATGTTATAGAAAGGCAGCATATTCTTCTCAATTATTTTAAGACCTTGAGTGTTGGTCTGGCCGAGGCTTAAACCCTCGACCTTCTGCACAACAGTCCAGCGCTCTATATTGAGCTAACTGGGAGATGGTAAAAGACGATAGAGAAAAATACCATTACCAACTGGTTGAATACCAAATTCTCAAAACTAACATTACAAGAATTGTAATGCATACAGTTAGAAGAATTACTAATTGGATTTAGGAGAGAAAGGGTTAGACATTACTGCACCAGGTTTATAAGCACTCACCTCCATACTAGCTGTAAAAATCACAAGATCATACCATTGACTCACCTGCAAACAAAATATGATAATTAACTCAAGTTAATCTCCCGTATTAAGAATCAACATCCATGTACATGTACATAATCTTCTGCTCAGACTCTAACATACAGTAAGTAGTAAATATTGACTGAGTAGCTGTAGTTACATGACTGTAGAGCTATTTGTAGTCACGATGTCTTTTAATTTGTTTGGTCTTGTGAATAAATAAAAAGCATGTTACTGAGTAGCTGTTTCCATAAAAATAAACTTCACACTGTGTAAGGTTAACAGATTGCTTTGCGAGGGGGAAGAAAAGTTGGTAGTTCTGTATCAAATGAAAAAAATTATTTTCTCCTGGGGAGTCTCTTTGGCAAACAAAACCTTTCAAGCCCATATTTTTTATCTTCAATTACAGAGTGCTTCAAGACATTTCCCTAAAGCTGAATTGTTGTTATTTCGTCTTGTTCAGATAAGTTGTAGATGATATTGCCAAATTACATGTCATACTATCTCAAGCAGCACAGGTATAATAAATTTTCAAAGCTATGGTGCAATCCTTTTACCAGCTGAATTTTAAAGAAATCCAAGTGATTTTTTTTTTAAAGAAATCCAAGGTACATGTAATTCATGTGGCAAACTTTAGGAGTTACCCCTGAAAAGGCAAACACTGTTTGAGACACTTACACATTCAAGGAAAAAGTCCACATGTGGTCTCTTGTGAACAAAAAATCTGATAGGATGATGGTCTATTGTAACCTGCAAAAATAGTAAAAAAAAAAAAAGAATGAAATTTACATTGCTACTGTACAGTAGTATTGGCCTCTACACAGTTGCATGCCTGGGAAGTTTTGTTTGAAAGGAGATATATAAATGTCCAAAGGAGAATTCTTAGTAAGGTCTGGGGAGAAACAAATACAACACTTACCCGCAGTACAAAATCTGGAGGTGTACCTGGTCTCACAGTCTGTCTTACAACACTAAGAAATTGTTAAAATACATCATTAATAAACATGCAATAAAAATGAATAAAATTGTGGTTGGAAAGGATGTTTTAGGAACAGCTACTGAGTATGACACAACACTTCAAGAGCAAGAAAGTGAAAGCAACAATAAATGGACCAGGGGTAAAAAAATCTTTTATGCAAGTAAGGAATTGACACAACAAAAATTTGCATTTCATACCCATCATGATGTGAATGAATGAGAGTTTCATCAAGGTCAAGCACTAACGTCTTCCTTTTCACTAGTCCTGCCAATAAAGTTTTATAATGTAACTTAATTTATACCAAGCATTGTTTATAAGTAAAGTAAGTAGAGCAAAAATGAAGCAATCCAGGTTTACTTTCTGCACGCAATTGAAATTCAGATACAGGGCTTATCCCAGTTTCTCAACACTGATTTGATTAAGATTAAAGTAATATTTTCCTTTTTGTGAGACAAGAGCCACCCCTTGCTTTTAAATCAACACATTTTGGTTACTGTTATTCATTTTTTAAGGGGGGAAGAGAAGAGTAAATGTGTAGCACAGAAACATAGTACTCCACCTATCTCTTGCAAGGGCAGTTTGGTGTAGTCTATCCCCTTTGCTACACCAGTTTTGACGGGACATGAGCAGCTTGGCTAGAAATGGTTGTAATAAAAACCCTAGTAACAGAACCCTATGTCCATTAACAGGTAGAGTACTCACTCAATCTTTCAACTGATATGGGTGACAGAGGAAGCAATTGATATTTAACAGTCTTGTGTTGAATAACCTGCAGGATAAGAAAAAAAATAGTAAATAAACATTAATTACCACATTGTTGCCACTGAGTGTTTTGCATGCCTATTAGGCATCTGTTAAAATTTTGAAGAAATGGGAAAAGCAAACACAATGCACAGTAAATTTTTATGAATCACCTTTTCTAAAAAAACAGGTAGACTTATAAAAAACAAGTAGACGATATAAATTACTTACTTCCACAATAAAAAAAAAAAGATAGATACATATTCAGTTTTACCCAGAAATCAAGATAAAAGATAAAAGTTGCAGAAGTTTTTTTGGCACATACAAACATGCCTGCAATCAGATTTCAAAGTGAATATGCAAATAATTTTGGTGTGTGGAGAAGTCTCACGTTACATGGAATCTATGAGTAAGAAGCAAGGCGAAAAATGACAGAGAATTATTCTGAGTCAAAAAGTCTATTCCAAAAAGTTTTTGATTTACTGATGGAAGTGAAAGAGGCTATGAACTCTTTACATGTATGAAACCTATGCAAAAGTTACAATTTATCAATATTTTTGGGAGATAGGTGTTGCATAGGTAGCAACAGAGGAGGGTAGCAGTCTTCACAGCAGCAAAGGTCACCATAGTGATTTCAAAAACATTAATTTTCATTATTATCGTTTCTATTTGTACATGACAGCACCTCACTGAGTAATTAAAAAAATAATGAATCAGCTTTTTGTTGTGGTGTACATACTGTTAACCGTGATTTTCATTCATCTCTAGGGCTTGACGTTACTTTTTAAACGCACAAAATTACATCTTAAAGTGTTTGATCACGATGAACTTCCGTTTCTGGTCGATCAATGCCGTTTTCTCGCCTTTGTAGGATGCAACTGCGCATGCATATAAACAAACTAATCTGCATCCACCCTTTCAATTTCATACCTTGAAAAAAAAAACTATCTCATTGATTCCTCTTAAATCAAAGCGGATAAACTGATTCTAAGAAATAACGTTCGCTTTGATCCATTTTCCAGTTGACATGCTTCGATGGATGTAATGACAGCTTATTGGATAGGGATTACAATCAGTTGTTTATCTGACAACAAACTCGCGAAATTGTATTTAGAAGGAACAAATCCTATAAAATTAAGCCACTACTTAACCACAGGCTGGCTCTGCACTATATTCGGTCAAATTCAATATTTTAGGAAATGTGATCGAAATTAAATCTTATATTGGTGCACGGACAGGCTACTGATATTATAGCCGCGAGCCATCATTGGCAAGCTTGAGTTGCGTACATGAGCGTTTGTTTTGTCATAGCAAACAAATAAGATCGAATTTTCCGACTCCTAGGTAAATCATGCACACCTTAATGACACAACCATACCTTCTTTAAGTTTCGTCGCAAAACGTACATAATAAGGGTCCAAATCTTTATGAGAGCCATCATAAAAAATCGAATTCCTATACTATTGTAAATCCCCTTTAAACAATCCATTGTCGCGTATACCCACATTGAAAACTTCTCCAGAATACCAGAACTCAAATTCATGCAAAAATGAAAAAGCTTTCGCAAATTCGGCGTCCAAACTTTAGTACTCATAAAGCTAAACAACTGGCAGACATGTTTGTGTTCCGCAATCGAAAGCGCATGATTAGCTGGGAACTAGTACGACCGCCTTTACTTCTGGGATATCCGGGATAGAGGTAACATCAGAGACTCCCAACAGTCCTTGAGATCGTTTCAATATGGCGGGAGATACAACTCGTGGTCCCTCGTGCTCCCTATGAAGTTGCTTCGAAAAGAGTTTTCCATTTTTTCCTCATCGCACGAGGTAAAGTTTGTTTTGTGGTGATTTTCCTTCTGAGCCCTGAGATGTGAGCTTGTATAGTAAAATTATCGAAAAGCGCACAATTAAGAGATTCCAGTCAACCTCGTGGTTGGATAAACCGGAAGCTTAGTGCGCAAAGTTGTATCCACGGTTACTTCCGTCCAAAGCTAACTTTAGCTAGTTACTGGCTGATCTTATGATATTGGAAGGGAATCCCTCGATCAAAAATTAAATATTCATAGCTGATAATTGTAATCACATAGTACAGAAGAAGCTTGGAAGTTTTTCGTAATCTGAAAATACCGATTAATTAAATGACTAAACCTCATTGCATTCCTTTGTTTGTAATTATTTTGTTTATTTGTTAATTCAGTTATCCGTTGTCTGATTTTTTTATTGATCGTTTGTTTTTTTCCTATCCGGTAAGTCCTAGGCTTTCCTCGAAAAATGGTTTATTTCTCCTCAGCCGACAATCCATCTTAAATCAGTAAAAAAAAGATCAAAGGTATTCTTTTATAAAACGTTTCTGAATTGAATTTAATACTTAAAATGTATCTTTTCCAGGTTTTTACAGATCTTAGAATAGAATTATCTGGGAAAATTGTATGATGGTGGATTGTGTTGGAGATAGTGATAGCACACACTATCGCTATGCAGCTCCAGGTTGGTTGATTTATGCAAAAAGGTTCTTGTCTTCTAGGAACTGTGGAGTACATGTATATACCAAACAGCTGAATAGTGCTTTTTGCAGGTGATAGTTGGCTTGTTTGGAAATGATTAGTAAGTACTTTCTAATTCGGGGCAGAGAAAGAGACAAAATTGCATATCAAGGGTTTGATTTCCATCCATTTATTTTGTATATATTGAAAGAAAATTGTTTGGTGTCTGTGTGGTATATGCTATTATTAGTCACCTCAGTGTCAGTGAATGTGGTGGATATTTACCTCCACTTCAGTGAATATTTGTTAAATATTTGCTCCAAATTTTGATCAAGTAGTTATTACGGGCACTTTTTATTTGATTGTGCCAGGGAGGTACACTGGGCAGCCATCACTCATCAGCCAACCACAGCTTTGTCACGATTGTAGCAAAAACCAAGCTACAAAGATAAAGGAATTGAATTCATTTGAACCATCAAGAGAAGTAAGAGCTAATACTGACTTATATGATATGATAAGCTGAATCCTAGACACTTTGTGATTGCTTTTTACATATGATCTATTAGAGCATAGATACATAAGTGATGTCACCATTAACAGCAATTTGCTTTGTAAATTATCATATAAAACAAATAGATTGTGGGTGTGTACAATAATGGATCACAGAATAAGACAACAAAAGTTTAAAAACAGTTTGACCTAACAATCATTTTTAACTGCAACAACCATTGTATACTGAGTCTAATTTTCTTAACTCAACCCATTTGTTTGCAGTCTGACTTCTTTTCTGAATTGGATGCTCATAAAAATCACCTGGATGAGCGATACAAACTGTGTCATCCATGTTATGACACTGTTCAGCGTCACTTGAACCTTCAAGCAATGGACCTGAAAACATTTGTACTTGGTACTCATCTGCAAAATTCAAAATCAACTCCAACAAAGTTGAAGGTAATAGGTTTAAGATTCTATTTTTGAAATAAATTATATGTAATATACCAGGTGGGAGGCAGTGTATGGAAAAAACTAAGCCCAGGCCAAAAGGGACCATTTTCTCTTATATGGAGCAACATAGACCAGTAAAAAGTGAGAATGATGAGCCACTAATCATGTTTATGATTTAATATTGAGTGTTTTAACAATTTTTACTTTTTCAGCATTTAAGGACATCTTCACCAGAATCCATTATTTTTGTATTAGCTAAGCTAACTTGTGTTTTCCTTGCTGCCCTGTTGGTTTTCTCTGATTCAACACAAGCTAATTGCAGTGTTTCTGGTAAGTGCAGTTAGTATTTTGTGGTTCAAATCTTTCCTTTGTTTCAAAGTTTGAAAACTCATTTAAATTTTCTTTTCTTTTGTCCTTCAATTACATAAAATTAAAATGGGAATAAAATTGCTTTTGAACACCTTCAAACCAATAAAAAGTTTGAGGTTCTGCATATAAACTATAATATCACATTATCAGATGTGTTGGAAACATTTTAGTAAAACCTGAACGGAAAGCTGGAATGGAAGGGCTTTTTCACCGAGGGAATAATGATTTACCTCTGTTAAGGCTTTTTAAGTTGCTGAAACATTTGGTGATGGAAAGATTGGTCACTACCTTTTGGAAGAGAAACATGGTTTCTGAATTTTTCCATCACTGTTGTTTTATTATCATCATTTCTTTTGACCCTTAAGTGCCATTGACTTGCATTCAGTATTTTATCCTTAAAATATCAACACTGAATCACACATTAAAGGTCTAGTGAATAAAGGAAATAATCACCAGCTAAAGAAGCTCATGATTGTTCAACAAATTCTCGTGGTCAAAGCCTTCCAAATGTTTAGAGAACAGTATGGAGAATATGCATAATGATGTTTGAGTGTGAAGGGTTAATTAAACCAGTTAATACTTTTTTTCCTTTTTGTTAGGTGAGGCCCTGGGTTTTTGGAGCATTTCTATCATGGCTGATCAAGAGTTTTGGTCCAGTTTTCCTCATACAAACATGACAGCAACATCAAAATATTTATTCTTTCAACTTATCCAGTTATTTCAAGTTGCAGTGAGGATGTCATGGGAGAAAAGTTCAGAACTAATCCTCTGTCTGCGTTGTAAGTGACCTTTTCTGAGTTAAACCTTAAGCTTTAGATGAAGAATAAATGTATCAACATCATAAAAATACATGTACACATGTTTCACAGCAATGTAGTGGACAGTTTTAGATATCTCCTTCAGGCATGAACATAGAATAAGAAAGAACTATGGTTGTAAATGAAATGGAGGGTATGTGCTGGAGGAATCCAAGTGTCTCTGTTATGACCAGCAAGCCTGAGATAGAATACACCCTTTATCGCTTGCACATCTGCACAATCCAGTCATAAGCCCCCTACTAAATGGGTAACCAAAGTATAGGGTACTGCGGGTGGAATATGCTTGAAAGAAATTGGTGCAGATGGCTCACAACAAAAAGTAACAAGTACACAAACTACTTATAGAGTTCAAGACTAAGGTCAAACTGCAATAAATTATATACAGTAGTTTCAGGTTTCCCAGTGAGTCTGCACTTATGACATTGATCTCTGACCAAATCATGAGGCAAAGTTGAACTTGTGCAAACAATGTCGTTCAACTGTCACATAATTGCTGGTAACTAGCTTATCTTATTCTTATTAAATAAATCTACCAAACTCTGGACTATCATAAGTATTAAGTGTAAATGTAGTTATAACCAATGTACTGACACTGTTTTTGCCAAGTTAATTCAAAGTGAATTTTCTAGGTCTGGCAAGGAAGAAGTACTTGCACATCTTATTGTGTTGCTTGCTGATGAATTTCCTGATATTTTTGAAAAGAAAGAGCAGGTACCTAAAGAACCGATTATCTCTAAGAAGAGTTATTCATAAACAATAACTATTTTAAGGTAGTATAGACTAATTTCTATAAGTAAAGTAACTGCTGAACCCACATCATGAGTTCCTCATACTTATGGCAAAACGTGATCATTTTCAATTTTTTCTGAGGGGACAAAATGAAAATTATGGCTGACAAAATTTCTCATTACAGCCTCAACTTTGAAAATTAAAGCAAAAAGAAGCGACATTCTGATGGGACAGGAGGTGATAAAGATAGAACAAAATTGTACAGCGCTTCATTTATTCTGAGGGTGTTACTTTTGTACACAATTCATTTCTCTCTTTTTTTTCTTATGGTTTTGATGTGTTCATCTTTCAAGCTGAGCAATATTCCTAAAGCTAACAGTAATTGTATTTTATTGGCCTTAATTGCATCCATTTTTGTCTTCAGGTTTGGCATTTTGATTTTAGTCTCGTGGACCTTACTTTCTGCTCTAAGATTCTGGTATGTTCAGGGGTGTTGTTAAACTATTATCTAGTAAAAAAAGTGCTCTCGTGAGACAGATTCGTTGAGCCAAAGCTGAGTGGCAGTGTTTATTCAAGAAAATCACATTCATTTGACTGCTAGCAATTTTTCCTGGCTCCTGTGATTGTAATCTACGTCACTAGGGTTGCCGCTGTTTGTGTCGTACGCCAAGAAAAAGCAGTTTACTGAGTTAACAGCTAGAGCATTTAAGGATGTAGATGACGTCCCCCTCTTGCACGGTCGCCCCAAAGAAAAGTTCCGTCGCCCTGAATTGTGGTAGCATCGTGCTGAACTTGAGTTTCTTCGCGCCCAACTTTTGACCCTTTGAATTTTAGTGCCTTCTTGATTAACCTGAAATATGTCCAAAAGGTTTTACTTGTTAGCTACAGGAACGTGTTTTGTTGGGTTAATATGCCTACCTCAATATTCATCCCTGAAATCAGGGTGTATAGGAAAGGAGGTTTCAGGTCCATTTTGTTTTTAAACTTCTCAGGGAAGTGGTTTGGCGTAAGGCTGACACAAGATGGCACACCAGAATGGCTGTGTTCTGTCTCATCCTGGACATGTGCTCTTTCCTAGTCTCCTTTTCTTCATACACAAGAGTCCTGGCTACAAGAAAAAAGAAAAGGTACTCAAGAGGTTTGGTTGACAAACTCCTAGTCTGCTTTGACGCTGAGCGAAAGGGTTTCGCTGGCAGACGAAAATAATGCGTCTCGCATCGATTGCAACAAGGGTACTCAGTCATTTCGCCGACAAGCCAACTCGCCGCCACTTTATAGTCAACTCGTCGACAGTCGTCTTTTGTCTCTGGTAAAAAAATCAAGTAACTAACATTAGTTTTGGCCAGGTGACCGAAGTCGTCAGCGAGTTGACTTCGGCTAGTTGATCAGTGGTGTCGGTGAGTTGACTAAAGGTGTCGGCGAGTTAATTAATGGTGTCGGGCGTGTTCAGTCTCAGCGTTTTCGGTGTTGGCGAGTTGACATTTCGGCTGAGTGACAGGTAACCGCAACAGAGCTTGGGCAATTTTAAGGCTTTGGCTGGATTATTTCTTTTGTTACTGCAAAACATTTGAATGTGTTATCAGCCAAAGTACTTTTTTTTTCACGTTCATTTCAATGACTCGCGCAATTTACTTAACTGCGCCAGTATTCTGAGATCGAATGTATCGAACGAAGTTGTAAGAAAAATTTTCACGGTTTCAAAACTAAGGAACATTTCAGAAACTTGTCCTTAAAAGGGGCCACAAAATTAGAAGAGGAATTACGTCGAAAATTTTTTACGCAGTGTAACAGGAATTTAAGGTTTGCTTAAGAAATCTGTCGAGTTATATCAAGACCAAATCCCAGTTTAGGTTTAGTTGTGTAACTAGAGTACTTGAAATGATGAGGAAAATTGAAAAAGTGAAACAAGAAAGGTAGAAAAATGGTTGATGGATAGTGTAAGCTTGGACAATCGGCGTTTTGTGTGAACATTTTCTGGACTAAGTAGCATACGTGATTTATTACTGAAGTAGTTCTATTGTATTTACGTTACATTGTTTGGCCGGTTGCAGATGCCAATATACACCAAGTTCACCCTGTGTCGAAAAACATCCCACATCGCCGGCTGATTCCCATACCATGGACACAAATACATGCTCTGGGGTGAGATGCCTTAAAATACTCACAGGGAAGAAGTTTTAAGGGAGATAACCTGTTTCTTTTGATAAGAAGCATCACGCTCGCAGTTTGATTGGTTCTTACCAATGATTATATATTAAGATTGGAGGATAGACGCATAGATGACGTCAACATAAACAACATTTTGCTGTATTGTCATTTAGGATAAATCGATTCCATGTTACCATTGGTCTGTACAGTTCTTAATAGATCACAGAAGACGTCAAAATGAGGCAAGAACATTAGTGGCACATTCAGCTGCTACTTACAAAATTTTCACGTCATCTTTGATCTGTTCCTGAACAGACACACAGTAGTGTGGTACCTATTTATTAAACAGAGTGTGGTTTCCTTATATATGAAACACTTTTGTTGCATTCAATGGCGATTTTTTTTAACCAACTCTTCCGTTGAACTCGCATTTCCATTTCCCTGCATATCTCGTCGGTTTCATGTAGAGTTCTTCAGTGTTACAAGTGGTTATAACTAACTGGATGTTCTTTTTAATTTGCAGAGTACACCCTCCCATGGTAAAACATCAACAGAATTAGATCACAACCTGAACGGCCTGTCATTAGGTTTACCCGCAGAGAGAAAGAATGGCTACAGATCCCCGTTGTCACCAGGGAACTGTGGAAGACCAGGTACGATAGAAAACTTTCACTTCTGATAATATACATGAAAAACATTCTCAGTTCTGATTGGTTGAGATGAATGCAGTTTTCAGTTAATTTTAGTTCAGAAGAGAGTTAATTCAGTGCAGAAGAGGGTTAATTCAGTGCATAGAAAGAAACAAACCAGACATTCTGATTGGTCAGAATGATTGGTCAATGTCAATGTCACTTGCAGGGTTTGAATAAATTATTTTTGCACTTGATGCGCGCGCTTTTCTTCTGCGTAGTTATGAGAAGCTACCTCGTATTTTTTCATGTATATTATTAATAGATAATCACATGATTTTCTCGTGCAATTTGGAATAAATAAGCACTTGTAAATTTTTTCAAAGACCACCAACTGCACTCGCCCTACGGGCTCATGCAATTTTGTTAGTCTCTAAAAAAATTTACTCGTGCTTATTTATTCCAAATTGCGCGGGAAAATCATGTGATTACCCATACAAATTGCTTTGCCAGGCATATTCTTTGAGAAATCCTGAATTGACATTCTGTAATCAGGCTTATTTCTTACACAACTCCATGTTAACACTAACTCTCATTCTCCTTCTCAATAAGTGTTTTTGTTATCACATTACTCATACACCACCCTCCCCTCCCCCGCCCAATATGAGGGCCGTAGGCGATGGTGCAAGCAGGGCTTGCAATAGCCGCACGCCCCCCTCCACCCCCCTCCCACCCCCGATGCAAGCTGCAAGAAAAAAGGACGAAAGACAAAGAGGGGCGTTCATTTGAAAAATGCTTATTGACGAGTTTGGTCAGGCCGAGTGGTTCTCAATCGTTAGGTACGGACTTCAACCGTGTTCAGTCCGGACTTTCTGATCTCGAGCTAAATATTTTTTTTTAGTTCGCCATCATAAAGAACTGATATATGGTAATTTCTACGAAGTTGAGGTAATTTCACATGGCACAGCAAATATACCAAATATGGAGGCGTGTCTTCCTTAAGAAATGTGAATGAACCTCTATCAAGTACTTTCAGAAAAATAAAACTGTTTTTTGCAACACGGCAGGTCTGAGAAGGCCTAAGGCCATTGAAAATTTCTGCCGACTAGCCCATAAAAGTCTTCATTAAATGGCTTGTAGTAGTCACGCAATAATGTCATGACGTCTTCGCTCACGTTAGGGTGTGGTCGACCCTTATCTTTTGACAAGCATCCAGATTTGGTTGGTTCATCGTTCGTTTGAGTCGGTGGAACTAAACACGGGAAACCCTTAGTTTCGTTGAAGTAGAATAACTTTTCATCAATGAAAGGTTGTAGTCCTAAGAACTTCTCTACCATTTTTAATTCTGGTACGGGGTTTCTGATAAGTTCTTCGCCATTTACGAATTGAATTTGCTCCAGAGGAAAATATTTCAACCAGTTTTTCAGATGAATTTTGTAGACGCCTGTTTGTACTATTTTGCTGGATGTTAGCACTGCGCCATCTTTGGCGACATATTCCTCGAATGGTCTGACCTTGCCCCGGTATTTATCGAAGATTTGTGCGTAATCTGAAATCGCACGTACTGTTGGATCACGAACTATAACCACCAGCTTAATATCCGGTGACATGTTGTAAATCAAACGAGGAGCATCCTGGGTAACAAAGTAAGCTGGTGTTTTCTCAATTGTGATTTCATTGTTAAAAGACTTGGGCATTTGATTTCTGTACCACTCCAACCCTCGTTTATAGTTCTCTTGTTCGTCAAAGAAATGCAGTTCTCGTGAACAGGCTCGCACGTTGGGGTGACGCGCAAGAGAATCCAAAAGTGCCCTTGTTCCTCCTTTTCGTATTCCAATTACAAGAGCATTGGGAAGTCTGCGTTTCAATCCCGTTTCGCTTTCGTTGGCTTCATTGGTCATTACGTTGTTTGACAGCGCGCTCTGTTGTGATTCCGCGTACCCTTCGTTGAGGTGACTGGAGGTTTCGTCGTCTGCAAGCTTTTGTTGTAAGTCTGGTTTACTTTCTGTGATTGAATCAAAGATGATTGTTTTGTCTGTATCTTGAATCGCATTTTGCTCCAATGATTCTGCTTCATTTATTGAAAACGTTTCTACGTAAGAAGTTTTATATTCTCCACTGGTGGTCTCTCTGATTGGGATTATTGGACCGTAAAAGAAACAGTATAGAAAAGTTGCAACAAGGAAGAAAAGCGTGCTACAAAAGTATCTCTGTCGGAATGATCGCATCATTGTTCCAACGCTTTTCATCAAAGTGCTATTCCTCTCCGAGTCTTTAAAAAGTATTTCTTCGTGGTAGAAGTTGTTTGGAAAGGCAATTTAAAAGTTCTAGTCGAAGAACTCTCTGCTGGTTTGAATTGGAAGTCCTCCGTTTGTCTGTGGAGAAATAAAACATATCTGATTGTTTAATGTGAATTACTTGCCGTTTTCATTTGCTATCCAGTTAGATCCGGTTTGAAGCTGAGTGAGCAAAGGTTTGACAAACTCAAAAAAAAATTCAAAACTGATCAAATCCCACCTCAAAGACTAAAACAGAGAGAACACATGGCTTTCGTTCTGTAAATTGAAGTCTTTATACACGGAAAATTGTAAACCTTTGTGGTCTGACTGGTATTTCTGTTTGGGTTTTTTTTCCGGGTTCATTATTCATGTTGCAACATCGTTCCTCATCCTCTTAGACACTCGACCCTCTAGACATCACTCATTCTAGCATCTCGTAGAATTTTTTCGACGTATGGAGCTGGTTTATAGCCCTGCTCAGTACTAAAGATTCCTCAGTAGCTTAGTGGTTGGGCTTCGGAAAGCACAATTTCAAGCTGAGATTCGTTCCCTCTCGGGAAACTCAATTTTGTCCCATGCCTGCGACAAAACAAACCCTTTACAGCCTAACATCAGTTTGCATATTCTCCATACCGTTCTCTATACATTTCCCAAAGGTGTTGACAAGGAGAATTAGTTAAATAATCAAGAACATTTTTGGTTAGTGATTATTTCTTTTATTTTCATGATGTCAATGAATGATTCAGCAGAACAACTGAAAGGAGAAATCAGATGCTGGTCACTCTTAGGATTTAAATAGTTAAAAAAAAAACATATTTTTAAAGCTTGGTGATACATATGAAACAAGGTGTCTCAAGTCTGCAGTATCAGGGCTGCAAATAACGGCCGCTCAACGGACAATGTCCGGTCAAAATTGGGTACTGACAGGACAAATCCTTGGATTGCAGGACATCTTGTCCGGTCCTTTATCGACTCGTTCAAAGAAATTTTAATTTTTAACTGTTTGCTAATCACAAGGGACACAGTCATGTTTC